TAGATTCAGAAAAAGCATTCGACAAAACTCAGCACCACCTGGATAAATACTCTCACCAAAGTGGGAAAAGAGGGCTCATATCTCAATACAATAAAGGACATGTATGACAGACCTATATCCAGAATCATCTCAATGAGCAAAAACAGAAACCATTTCCCCTAATTAACAGGACAAAACAGAAAATGTCCCCTTTCATCACTCTTATTCAACATAGTACTGGAAGTCCTAGCCACAGCAATCAGACAAGAAGAAGAAATAAAAGGCATCCCAAATGGAAAGGAGGAAGTAAAACTCTTATTTTTCAGAGATGATATGATATTGTACATAGACAACCATAAAGACTCCACACACAAAAAACCCACAAAAAACCACACACCTAGATTTAATAAATGAATTCAGCAATGTAGCATGATACAAAATTAACATACAGATATCAATGGCACTTTTATGCACCAATAATGAATTCTCAGAAGGGGAAACCAAACCAAAAATCGCATTTACCAGTGCATCAAGAAATTATGATACTTAAGAATAAGCTGAACAAAGCAGGTAAAAGCCTTGTACTCAGAAAAATACAGGATGTTGAATAAAGAGATAGAGGAAGATGTAAACCAGTGAAAAAATATACCGTGATCATGGATTGGTATAAAAAACATCATTAAAACGTCCATATTACCCAAAGCACTCTACAGATTCAATGTAATCACTATTAAAATTGCAACAGCATATTTCACAGATCTAAAACAAATACTCCAAATATTTATGGGGAACCAAAAAAGACCCCAATTAGCCACAGCAATCTTGAGAAAGAAGAAGAAAGGTGGAGGGATCACAGTATGGAGTTTCCTTAAAAAGTAAACATTGAACTGCCATTTGACCTCGTGAACCCACTTTTAAGAAGATATGCTAGGAGACTCCAAACACCAATCAGAAACAATGTATGCACCCCTATATTCATAGCAGAACAATTTTCAATAGTTAAGCCTGGAAACAGCCCAAATGCCCATCAGTAGCTGAGTGGATAAAAAAGCTGTGGTACATTTATGCCACAGTAAGAGTGAAGGATCTTTGCGACAGCATGGAGGGACCTGGAGAATATCATGGTAAGTGAAATAAGCCAGTCAGAGAAAGACAGGTATCACATGACCTCACTCATATTGTGGAACCTAATGAACATAATAAACTGATGAAGACAATGGATTCAGAGACCTGGAAGCATGGAGCAGACTGGGGATCTCAGAGGGAACTCATGGTTTGGTGCGAGGTTGGGAGGAGGACAAGCAACACACTCATATGCATATGTGCATCATCCAGGGACACAGACAATAGAATGGTGAAGACTTGGGCACCCGGGGCCGGGCTAGAAGGTGTCAATGGGTGATAAAAGGGAACATGTGTACTACCTTCACCAATAAAGGTATAATTTAAAGAAAAAAGAATTAGGACTTGGACCCACAGACTCGCACTGAATATAGTCCCTGTGTCACCCACCTTCTCTCAGGTGGGGTCAAGACCTCAGCTATGAAATACTCTGCCTCATGAATATGCAAAAGAGAGGAGGTAGACCAGGTTAAATATGGGTAAGTCTGTGCCCTGAGGGCATCACCCACAGCCACACCCTCCCCTACACAAGTGCTCACAGCACAGCCCTCAGCATGGACTGGAGCTGGAGAACCCTCCTCCTGGTGGCCATGGCGACAGGTAAGGGGCTCTGGTCCTGGGTTAAGGAGGGTCCAGGGAGAGTCAAGTGGGATTCCACTCACTCCTATCTCCTCCCCACAGGTGTCCACTCCCAGGTGCAGCTGGTGCAGTCTGGGGCTGAGCTGAGGAAGCCTGAGGCCTCTGTGAAAATCTCCTGCAAGGCTTCTGGATATACCTTCACCAGCTACAACATGGACTGGGTGCGACAGGCCCCGGGACAGGGGCTTGAGTGGATGGGGTGGGTTTACCCTGGTGATGGAGACACAAACTACGCACAGAAGTTCCAAGACAGAGTCTCCATGACCAGAGACACGTCCACGAGCACAGCCTACATGGAGCTCAGCAGCCTGAGAGCCGAAGACACGGCCGTGTATTACTGTACAAGACACACAGTGAGGGGAAGTCAGTGTGAGCCCAGACACTAACCTCCCTGAGGAGACAGCAGGGCTGGGCTGCAGGGAGTGTCCATGACCACCAGGGGGCGCTCAGGACCAGAACAGGGCCCTGACTAAGAGCAGGTGGAGAGTTAAAGAAACATACCATCTCCTGCTCTGTCTTAAGTTAGTTTTGCTCCCAGGCTCAGCCACAGAGCTCGCAGAAAGCCCTGTCCTATGTCTAGTTTTAGGGATTGTATTTGTGAACCAAAAGGGGGCTCTGTGCTAAATCTGACAAAACTCAGTGACTGACAGGACCCTCACAGGAGGCTCTGATCACACATCCTACCTGGGCAGTCCTGGGGGTGGGCACGCCCAGGCCTATGACTTCTTTACTAAAAGGCTCATCTTTGCCTTAAGCACCCCGTCCATTGTTCCTGTGCATCTGGGTTGACACACCTTTGACATCAGCATAACCACCCTCAGGAGAGCACCTCCTGTTCACTATCCTGGCATCCAGTCCCCGCCTTGCTCTCTCCCACCTCCATGTCACTCCTCACCTTCCCTCCTTAACTTCAAATGCACAAACGCAGCTGCAAATGGTTATTCTCTGGAGCATTTGAGGTCTTGCTCCCCAACAGTTCTCATATGTTTGGCTCCAATAAAATCTTATAAAACATTCCCTACTTATTTAGACATTTCTTACATCTACATGTTGTCTTTTCTTCATTGACAGCATAAGTTCATACACGTTTCTTCCGTGTGGACAGGGAAGTGCACATAATTATTAAAAACCTGCTACCTGGATGGGGTGAGTTAAAATGAGTTCACAGGTGTTGGAGATGAGACAAGTGTGCTCTTGGTTGTCATGGACGTAAGTGTCCCGTCTTTTTCAAGCCCAGCAGGTGATACTGGGAGGTTGAGCATCCACCTATGAACCAGGAGATCACAGTTCGATTCCTTGGTCAGGGCACATGTCTGGGTTGCAGTTTCCATCCCCAGGGGTTGTGGAGCAGGAGCCAACCAATCAATGATACTCATCATTGATGATCCCATCACTCCACTTGCCTCCTCTTTGGAATCAAGGAAAGTGTATTAAAAAGGAGAAGGAAAGGATGTAGCCTTCCTCAGCTGTGCTGTCTCCCCCTGTGACACTCTGACAGGTTCCCCTGCTGGTTGAATCAGCATAAAATCCACAACATAAATGAACCACTTTGAAGTCGTTGACATGAGAACCTCTAAGCCTGTGGAGGATATTTTTCAGAGTTTATTTACCCAAACTTGATAACTGGAACAGTGAGCCCACCTTTTTCTGTTCCTGGAATCGAGGGTCACCAAGTCTAAGAATGAAATCAGACACCAGAAGATTTAAGCGAAAGTGTGGAGCGTTTATTACAAGCAGATTCAGGCTTCCCGCTTGGGGAGGGGCCCACTAATGGGCTGCCCCTGAAGCCTGTGGTCTCGGGTGTTTATGTGCCACCAGCCTGCTCTGTGTCTACCCGTGTACCCACCTGATTGGCCCCTCATTGTTCTTGCCCAGCAAGGGACCTGCACATCCCTGTTCTCTTGTGTGCGTTCACCTTACTGTCATAGGCCCTCCCTCGTTTCCCAGGCCTCCTGCTCTGAGTCCAGAAACATTCTGTTATTTCTGCCTGGTTGGTCCCTGTGGATAGGCTGCTCAGACTGCCATGTCTGCCCTGCCTACCCTCCACCTGCCTTTGTTTCCCATGGACACTGCCCCATGTACCTGCCTGTCAAGCTAACTCCTCTCAAAACCACCCCTTCTGGACGTGTGTCTGGGGTCCTGCAGGAACAGGAAGCTCATTTTCCTAAAATACAGCGTCTCCTTACAAACACCAGAGCCACTGCTCAGCCCGGGCCCCTCCTCCCGCCTCTGCTGGCCTGGGATGGACGCTGGCCCCTCTGTTTTCTCTGTTTTTGGTAGATTTCCAGGGTGGTTGCTCTTCTCCCTTCTCATTCTCTGTTTGTTCAAAAGGAGTCACTGAGCAGAAGGGGCAGAAGCAAATTGGTGGCGTAGGCAGCTCCAAACTCCTGTTCTTCCACAAAAAGATCAAAAACAAACTGAAACTATCAGAACTGGCATCTGTCAGGCTCTCAAACACAGTCAGAGACCTGCAGCTACTGAGCGAACCTGAGTAAAGTACATGCTACTCAGAAAGGGAAGGAGCCCAGCCGGTGTGTCTCAGGAGTTGAGTGTTGGCCCAGGGAACACCAGTTTATGTGTTTGATTCTCATTCAGGGCACACACCTGGTTTACAGGATCAATCCTCAAAAGGAAACATGCAGGAGGCAGCCGATCAATGATTCTCTCTTGTCATTGATGTTTCCATCTCCTTCTCCACTCCCTACCTCTCTGACATCAATAACAATATTGTTAAAAGATTAATAAAAACAGCAAATGTCACAGGAAAAACTGAAAAAAAAAAAAACAGAGGAGAAAGGAACAATGACTTTAAAGTGCTGAAGAGAAAATGAAAATCCATCAACTTAGAATTCTAAACTAATTGAAAATATATTTCAAAACGGAATGAAGCCTGGTTGATATAGCTCAGTGGTTGAGCCTTGACCTATGATTCCATTCCTGGTCAGGGCACATGCCTGAGTTTTGGGCTTGATATCCAATTGTGACTATGCAGGACACAACAGATAATGATTATCTCTCATCATTGATGTTTCTAATCTCACCCTCCTTCTCCCTTCCTCTCTGAAATCTGTGAAAAATGTCCTACATTAAAAAAGGCTCCTATGCATATAGTCCCCTCGACCAGGAGTTTGACCATGGGGCAGGGCTGGCCAACCAGCCACCCTCTTCCCCTCTTGCCAACCGGCCCACCCTGATCAGCCCAGATGTAGTGTGACAGCCAGACCCCACCCATGCAAGAATTCGCACACTGGGCCTCTAGTATTAAAATAAATAAATGAAAAGGTTGTGGGTTTGATTCCCAGTCCCGGCAGTTACGGGAGGCAACTGATAAATATTTTCTCTGCCATCAATATTTCTCCTTCTCTCCCCATCTCTGTTCAATATTTCTCTCTCCTTTCCTTTCCCTCAAAAAGTCAATGAGCACCTCCTCAGGTAAGAATAAAGAAAAGAAAATCCAGCCTGTCTCCTGTGGCTCAGCTGTTGCACTTTGATCCTCGACCCAAGAAGTCACTGGTTTGATTCCTGGTGAGGACACGTGAATGGGGTTGCAGTCTCCATCCCAGAGGGGACCATGCAGTAGGCAGCCAATCTGTCAAGTATGTTTCTCTCTATCCCTCTC